TCTTCCCATATAAGGAGTTGTCAATCAAACTATTGTAGATTCATATTCTCCCGATATTGTTTAAGTAAACCCTAGCGAATTTGAGACAGCTCKCTAGATTAACCAGCAGTCTGTTCCAAATTCGCCAAAAAAGTGTTTATTTAAGTGTTTCTACGAGTTATTTGCTGTTACAGTAACCCCTAGGCCTGCATCATTAAGCTCATTGACTTGACAACTAGGCGGCATAGACACTTGTGATAGAAATCAGAAGTGAGAAGCGATTTTTCRGAACCTACCGAACGTAAAATTGGCAAGCAACTGGTGCAATATTTCTCATTAGTATCTATTGTTTATTCAACCTGACAAGGCCGTCGGTCTTTTGTCTTTTGAATCATGGCAATGCATGATTAAAGGCGAGCAATGTTGAAAAATTAAATTTCGAATGCATGTAGTATACAGCTATTTCAAAAAACCTTGTCGGGGAGAACATTGGCCACCCAACTATTGMTTGAGAGAAAGAAAAGAATAAATGCACACRCTTYTGTTATCGGCGMGCGCTCTTAGCAAAATGCGGGTTACCTGTGGTATTACGTCATTGATCCCTTTTGCGAGATCGCGGGATCAAAAACTAGTCTGTGACAAGGTATGAAACACTGATCACGTGATGGATCGATGTGTGCACCAGCTTACTGGGCACAACTTCGGAAACCGAGMGGGCGRAAAATAGTCGAACAGTCTCCGGATGTACAGCGGAGAGTCACGATCAGCTTTCTAGCTGTTTTTGACTCGATATTTTTGTATTTTAAACTGAAGAAATGCTATAAGAATATTTTGAATGGACAAGTCAAGGAAATAAATAGACACTTGTGTTCCTCAAAACATTTTATTGATAACAACAGCGTACATCTTAACAGCGTGAAATTTTCATTGATGAAAGGTGTGACAAATTCAAGTTCAAAACATGTAAGCATAATAAGAAACTTACTTTAAAAATTATACAGTTATGTAAACGAATGACAAATGTACAGACAAACAAATTGATATGAAAGCTCTATTTTGTCTTTTCACTGCAGACTATTAGAAAAATAAACGGCTCTCGTTCAATTTCAAGTAAGCTCAAGCTTAAAATATTTTGTACGGCATGGATCTTCTCAAAAACTGAAAAAGACATCAAAAAGTGCTATGTCTCGTATTCAGAGCTAAATTACAGTCAATATTGAACAACTAAAGTGATTTGAAAAGATAAAAGTGCCATAAATTGACCAGAAGTTCTAGGAAATATAAGTATTCGTCTTTTTTGCTCTCTTTGTTTCGCATGGGCCATACCATTTGATATGCCCCCCCCCCCCCCCCATTGAGGTATTAGATTAAAAAAACCCTTGGATACTTCTCTGTATATAGTCTGGATATACCCCCCTGGACAGTTAGTAAACACTGTTATACCCCTGCATGGATATGTTATAACTATACTAGCTGGCCCATGGATATTAGTCGTTAGTAAACACTGTACCCAAAGGATATAGTCTCTATGACCTGTTACCCCCATGGATATCTCATCCTCCCCCTAGGAAATCCAGATACAACTTACGGCTGAGCTTGGCAGCTTGAAAATGCTCTTGAAAAATTGGTTTCTCTTCTTCATTCAGCACAGAAATATCAATTGACCAGAATCAAACAGTTTGAGGTTAGTTTTTGTGAACTTTTGAGCTGTTTTTCGGGCAAATTCAGTATTCATTTTCTTGTCATTGTGATTCATTATCCGACAAAAAAAAATGTGGGGTGAACTTTTCGGCGATTACAAAAATACTCCGTAAGGTCTCGATGGTTCACGATAGTTCTCGACATGTTCACGAGCTGGAAAGTTCGAATGCTTTCCGAGTTTGTGCCCAGTAACCTGGTGCACACATCTGTCCACGTCGCGTAAAATGCCTTCTCTTCATTTTCTCGTTGTACAATCAAGATTTCACACTAAAATTCATGGGGTAGTTAGAAAGTCTCGTGATTTATTGCTATTTGAAAGAAAATAGTCGATTTCTTTTGATTTTCGGTGAAAAAGCAGCAAAATTATATTTGTCACGTGACCAGTGTTCCATACCTTGTCACAGACTAGTTTTTGATAGAGCGGATTTTGTATGAGTGGGACACCGTTACCGCACGGTTACCGCACGGTTACCGCACAGTTACCGGACCTGGCCTGCACAATTTTGGTGAACCAATGGGGCACTAGAATTTGGTTACAGTACGATTACGGTCACAATACAGTACCGTCCGTTTCCCACTCATACGAAATCCGCTCTAACGCGAGACAAGAGATCATTGACGTAATGCCACAGGTAACCCGCATTTTGTAAGAGCGCGCGCCGATAACAGTACTAGCATAAAAGCGTGCACTTTCATAGGCTACCTAACCCAACAATTGCTTGAGAGAAAGAAAACAATGAATGCGCACGCTTTTATATTATTAGTCGGGCGCAGGCGAAATCTGAGAATCTTGCAAGTGTAATGCGTTCTGCGGCGTCGAAAATAAAGAATACAGTGAAAATACTAAGAAGCAGGGGCACTCAGACCTTGGTGGGACCTTCAAAGATAGCTGTCAGGAAATTGAGGAAATGATTCGAACCAACGATCTTGTGATCGTAGAAGAAGACTGCCCTGCCGAGTGCATTCTGGGGCTTCAAGGGTTTCTCGAATTTACACAAAGTGGCATGGTTACTAATTCTGTAGATTCAAGAACCCTTACTCTTAACACAGTCGCCATATTAATGGCTTTCGTTGCATTTTTTGGCTGTTTTTCTGTTATCCAAGGAACTTACCTGACAATCCATTCAATTGCTGTGGGTTTGGCTATATTTATCGCTAAGAGTGTAGGGGGTTTGCATTCCATCGTATATTTCATAATATACATTTTTTGCTATCTTGCTTACCTTTGTATGTCATTTTGAGTTTTGTAATCTCGTTTAAGATTGTGAAAGTTGGCGCACTGTTAGCCAGTGTCGTTGGTGCAGTTTATGCTTGCAAACATGATTATTTGGAAAAGCTAAAACGAAAACTTCAATCAATGATGTAAGACACGACCCCACTCTACCATCCCAGGGGATTAAGGACATACTATTAGTAATTTAGATATTTTGTTAATGTTGTTACCTATACTGACAATCCATTCAATTGTTGTGGGTTTGGCTGTATTTATCGCTAAGAGTGTAGGGGGTTTGTATTCCATCGTATATTTCATAATATACATTTTTTGCTATCAGCTTGTTTACCTATTGCATGTCACTTTGAGTTTTGTAATCTCGTTTAAGATTGTGAAAGTTGGCGCTCTCTTAGCCAGTGTCGTATGTCGTAAGCGCTGTTTATGCTTACAAACATCATTGATGTAAGGAACGCTGCCCCACCCTACCATCCCAGGGGATTAAGGACATACTAGCCAGTAATTTAATTTTTTAAATTTCAGACATTGATGTAAAACACGTTGCCCAACCCTACCATACCAGGGATTAACGAGATACTAGTAATTAGGCAATTTAATTGTTGATGTTGTATTCCCAACTGCTGTAACGAGAGATAAATTAATTTATCATATAATTATCTATGAAATAGCTATATTTCTCCATTTCGTAAACTTGATATCTTCACTAGTGAAAATAACACATTCGAGGTTTCTCTATATAGTGAAAGTAAGAAAAAAGCTATTTTACGACATAATTTGCTTTCGTATACAATTATATGATAAATAGAATATTACATGTTCGCTTGGGGATACGAATTTTATCTTCTCGTGTTGAAAATCTCTCACTCGTTCGCTACGCTCACTCGTGGAGATCTTTTCAACACTCGAAGATAAAATCCGTATCTCCGCGCGCCCATGTAATATCCTCTATATCTGAACAACCAGTTTGTACAAGACGACCTGAAGGTCGTTGATAAGTAGTTCGAAAATAAATGATATAAAACTTGTTTTTTTGGTTATTTCAATTTGTACAGAATGCTGCCGTATTACCGCACAAGGGACTTACAAAGTGTCCCACACATAGAACGGCAAATATATATTAAAAAAAATCACATATCACAATACATGTGAAATCATATCATATCTGTGGGTAATAAAATGGAAGAAAGGAAATATAAAACAAAAGGGAGGAAGTCGGCCTTAAATTTGGAATGTGGTATGAAATGTGAAAAGAAGAAGAGAAAGTAAGGCAAGTGTCCCACACAGGGAGCACATGTACAATACACAGGTATCCCAACGCATAACGAGTCATGTCATTTCTGCGTAGGTGCTCAATATACTAGACCCAGATAAGAAGAGTTATGCCAAAAGGGATGATATCTTGGCTTTGACAGTGGGTACACTGTAAATCGGATAGAGCTGAATCAGCCCCAAAAGTCAAATCAGCCCCAAATTTTAARAGTACTGATTCTACCCTTGTTGGGGCCATTTTGGAAAAATGGGGCTGAAATGGCCCACAATAGTCCAATACGACCCAATGAGAATCTGAAATAGCCCCCCAAAATTCCATATCGATCATAATATAGGGCCATTTTGGGTAAAAAGGGTCATTTTGGTTAAAAAGGGTCATTTTGGTTAAAAAGGGTCATTTTGGGCAAAAGGGGCCGTTTTGGGTAAAAAGGACCGTTTTGGGTAAAAAAGGCCATTTTGGGTWAAAAGGCTATTTTGGKTAAAAAGGGACCATTTTGGGTAAAATAGGGCCATTTTGGTAAAAAGGACCATTTTGGGTTAAAAAAGGACCATTTTGGTTAAGAGGGTCATTTTGGATAAAAAAGACCATTTTGGGTAAAAAAGACCATTTTGGTTAAAAAGTGCTATTTTGGGTAAAGAAGGTCATTTTGCATACAGGTAAAAATTCACATTCCGTTATCGCTGCCAAATGATGATAGGAACGTATTCACATGACTCGGCAATGTGCATTGCATTGCTTTCTTTTTGACTGTCTCTCGTGAAGGAACTTATCGGAGTATTAAACTCACGTCGGCTGGTAAGAGGTAAGCCATGGCCGCGTTCGATCCAGCCTTCGTTCGACAAAGAAAGAGTACAATCTTGGCTGGAAGAACTCATACTTTGATCTAGACATCATACAAAAGATTTCAGGTAATTTTTTTTATTGTCAGTATTATAACGAAGTATGTCAACAAAACTTCAAATTTCTGTCGTTGCGGTCAGATGTGACCACGGTCTGGATTTCCAATTATTCCGCAAAAAATGCTATAGATACAATCCTAAATTTTTGWMAAACAATGTAGCTTTTTTATGCTGTAAAAGGATATGAATGTCATATTTAATGCGAGTAAAATAAAAATWGTGTTGACATCCGATCGAAGAACAAGCCCGCACTACTTTGTTCAGCGGCGGTTGCTAACAATCATGCGCACTTAATAAGGCGCAATTTTATCAACCGTCGTCGGAGCAGTTMGTGTGAAGTTGGAGTTTTTTATAATCACAGGAATTCGTTGAAATATCTCTCAAATAAGCTTTCATTTTTGCTTTGCTAATTCTTACTATTAATTGTCATGTTAAATAGTTTGTGATTGTTGTTATTATTCCTTCTTTTTCAGCCATCAGGGACGTCAACTTCAGAATCTTCCCGGACACCAACTCGTCCTAAATTCGAGTACTATACATCTAGTACACCTTGGACAGGAGGGAGATCAACTCAGTTTGGATTGTAATAATGTGAGCATGTTTTTGTTGTTGATTTGAGTTATAGCGAAGATGTTCAAAGCTAACGTTTGTTTTCAATCTAGGATGATCAGGAGCCCCGATGGAGACACAATATCGAGTTTGAAGCAATGGAAGTAGAAAAAGCCACAGAAGCAGAAACACCGAAGAGTACAAGCAACTGTACTCCACAGTACAGTTGCTTGTAAGCCCAAGGTATTTTTAAAAGTGTATTAGCAGCATACATAAGTTAAAATTGTAATCGATCTCCTATAAATTCAATTCATAAATGTCGCTAYTTCATAAGCTTACTTAAGCTGGCCAGGGCTTATATGATTCTATTAATTAATGTCTAGTTTGGTACGATGATTTTTTAAGCTTTATATCATAACCAAAATAAATGCTGAAGTTAACACCACTAGTTGATTTAAGACCATTAAGGAGTTTTTTACAATGCTTGTACAGTGTATTTATTAATCTTATATAGTGATCAGAAATTTTATTAATTTTTGAGAATTGTTGTTATGAGATGCATTTCTTCAATTGCTATTTCAAAGGAATTTATATTTTGTGTGTAATCATTTTTTCATTGAAGTTCTTTTGTGACTGAGGTGTATACATGATGTGTGCGAGGCTTCAGGTCTCGGTATCGCATCTTTACATATGTATTGCTTGGTTATGGACTGGGCTTCAGTGTTAAAATGTTTACTTGACTAAATTTGAGGTTACATGTGCATGCATGAGAGATGCTTTCTTACAATTGGTATTTCAAAGGAATTTATATTTTGGTGTAATCATTTTTTCATTGAAGTTCTTTTTGTAACTGAGGTGTATACATGATGTGTGCGAGGCTCCAGGTCTCGGTATCGCATCTTTACATATGTATTGCTTGGTTATGGACTGG